GGTTGTTTTGACCCAGCGGTTGGGTTACTACCCAGAAGGTTGGGTTAAACATTTAAACCAACCGCTGGGTCAAAACAGCCCAATTGCTGGGTTTGTCCCTATTTTACCCAGCACTGGGTTGTATTTAACCCAGCATTTTTGCTTACAGTTATACCCTGTGGAGTTTTAGTAGAGTTAACCAGAAGTAACTAGTCCATAAATAAACTTCACTTGAAGCCAGTGTGCTGCTGTTTTCTTATTTTCTGTGAAATGATTAATGAGATGGCTAATTCAGCACACTTTGCCCAGAAACAATCTCAAACCATAGCCACATCAACAATTTAAGAGCTATTCATCGCTCTCAGTGTATCAACTTTCTACCTTACAGAGCTCTGCCGATTTGTGGTTCATCTTCTTTAACAATTCATAGAATATTCTTATAGCTTCGGGGAAAGGCATTAAATAGTTCTCTGGTCTCCAAGAAAAGTGATATTTGTGATCAGACCAGAGGAAATGCTCTTCATGATATAGCTAGGGAAATACCTAGAAGTTATGGTGCAATGTGATTCGAGATATTCTTGTCATAACATGTATTGTGTGTGTGTGTTTTACATGTACAGTTCCCTAGAAGAACAGTGTCTGATATACTATTTGGAGTGTGATTTAGCCTTCATGGGAAAATCACATGAAACCTGTCAACCATGTCCAGGTCGTCGGCGCTGATAGCCTCGTGGTTAGTGCGTCGACATATAGCACAACTGCGCTCACAGCGACCCGAGTTTGAATCCCGCCTTGAGGTCCTTTGCTGATCCCGCTCCCCACTTTCTACCCCAATAATTTCCTGTCATCTCTCCACTGTCCTCTCAAAAAAAAAAAAAGCCCATAGATATAACAAAAAAAATAAAATAAAATAAAACATGTCCAGGTCATAGTTAAAAATAAATACTTTATTTATTGTTTGTTTGGTTGTATTAGAATGAACCATATAATGAACCATATTTTTTTGCATTGTCTGCCAAGTTCTTATTACCATTAAAAAAATCCAAGACATAATTTAATTATTATATTATCTTTCATTACATAATACATTATTATAATTGCAAACTTTAGTTTTGCAGTGAAATATGATTCTGACATGTCTTTGTTAGATTCAGTCAGGGTGCACAGATCATTTGTAAA